TTCTGGCTTACAAGGTGTATGTGCCTATCAGGACGATATTATTGTCCAAGCAGACACTTACATGACGAACGTTTGTGTGCTTTGCTTGAAAGATTCCGTTCTCATAATGTTTCTATTAATCCTGATAAATTTGCCTTTGCTACGACTAAACTTTCTTGTTCAGGTTATTTGGTTGGATTCCGTCCTAACCCTAATAGATTTTCTTCGTTGATTAATGCTCCATCTCCCAAGTCATTCCATGAACTTCGTTCTTTAATTTGTTTTTTACAGTACTATCCCAAGTTTATCCCTAACTTTTCAACCCAAGCTTCTCCATTGTTCGATTTACAGTCACAGTAAACATTTTGGTGGACTTCGGTCCATGAACGTGCCTTGAGGAATTTACTTTCCTTTTTATCTACTAGTGCTGTTTTACTTCCTTTCTCCCCACGATTACATTCTACCGTCGTCACGGACGCATCACCCGTTGGAATTGAAGCTGTGTTGGAGCAGAATGGTCATCCGGTGCTGTGCATCTCACGCAGAATCACGGCTGCCAAACGTGGGTATTCCCAAACTCAACGAGAAACTCTAGCTGTCTATTGAGCTGTCACGCGTATGCACATGTATTTTTATGGTACTCATTTCACTATTGTGAGTGATTATGAAGCCCTGCAGTTCAGTTACAACCCTCAATGTTCCCTGGCTAAGTCATCTGCAGCCATGGTACAACGATGGAGTATTGCATTATACGCCTATTCCTACGACATCCATCATCGCTGTGCGCAATCCATTCCACATGCAAACTATCTATCACGCTATGTCATTTCAGAGGAGGCTTCTACGGGTGATTGTCTACTCACTCAATCGCTCCCGGTAAGCCGATCTGATCTAGTTCGCGAGACCAAGAAATATTACCAGGCTATCATTTCCTGTGTCCGTCGAGGTTGGCGAGGTGATATCAAGCGTCGATTTCCGAAATTCTATAAACGCCGTGAGGAAATTTTTGTGACGTATGATGATGGTGTCTTGTTCTACAACGACCGTATTATCGTACCTCCGACATTACGTACTGCTGTTCTCAATGAATTACATTCCGGTCATCTCGGCATTGAAAAGATGAAATCTCTTGCTCGTCTCATATGCTGGTGGCCTGAATTGAATCATGATCTGAATCGTGTTGCGGAATCCTGTGCTGAATGTGTGCACAAAACTCACAGACAGCCTTCGAAATGGACTCCGTGGCCAGTATCATCCGAGTCATGGCAAAGGATACATGTGGATTACTGTGGTCCATTCTTCAACAAGTATTACGCATTGGTGATCGTCGATTCCTATTCCCGTTGGCCAGAAGTGTACCTTACCGCAACTCCCAGTTACGAATTTACTATTGAGCACTCAGGAAAACGTTCAGTAGAGAAGGTGTCCCGCATGCTATCGTGACTGACAATCGAAGTCAGTTCACTGCCAAGAAAGTTACTGATTGGTTGAACTCCGTGAGTTGTCGGCATGTTCTCACTCCACCCCGACATCCACAATCCAATGGTGCAGCCGAAAACTTTGTACGCACGCAGAAGAGTGCCATTGCTTCTTTGAATCCCTGTACTTTTGACGAACTGGACAGAGGCGTTGATAACTTTCTGATGCAATACCGTAACGCAGTACATTCAACTACGGGACACAGTCCAGCAAAGCTGCTTAAGAGTCGAGTACTTCGAACAAATCTTCTACGCTTGGAGTTTGAGGAAGTCGTGTGTCATCGTGATAACGATTTACGACCCTCCAGGGGCATTGTACTGGACAATATGGGACAAGAGTATGTCGCATATTGGATCTATATGATAGCACTGTACATCGCAGACATGTAGACCAAGTAATTTGCCCAGTCCTGATACTAGTTGTGAACCTACTAATCATTTTATTTCTGAGTCTTTTCCAGAGGAATTACATCCAAGTACAGATGTCGAAAACAATACAGAAGAACACAGAAGATCTGAACGATCACTCAACAAAGCCCGCCGTGATTACAGAAGACCGAAGCTTCATTCAAGCTGCGGCGGATGTGGTGATTGCTCATGAACTATGAACTCTTTTGTTTTATTGAACACGAGATCCTTGTATATTCCTATTTTCCGTCTATTACAATTCCATTCCGCCTCTGAGTTGACTTCTGATTTCGTTTCGAGTCCTAGTTGTGGGTCGGACTATCAGTGCGTGGAATCCGATACGTATACGAAATACTAGTCCGAGTACGATCCACAACAGACCAATAGATCTCAGTCACCGAGGTCATGTGCGTCTGTGTGCAATACACGGCATGAAGAGAATTGTGGAGTATATGTTCCGGATATACAATCAAGAATTCACGGAATACATCTCAAGCGATTCATCTCAGTCAGTTTAGGACGCACGGGCAGTTAACGTTGCGGAAACGTCCGTACCAGAAGTGAAGGGAAATATATATGTAGTATTGCCGTAAAGTGATGATAAGCTGCTAAAGGTGTGTAATAGGCCCGTATCACTGAGGCGTTTAGTTTTTTTGGATCAAAAGTTTCAGCTTGACCAAACCATGCGAGATAAATACTCTGTGGTTATCGGTCGATAATTGGAAAGAAGCTACGCAAAGAAGGTAGAGACGGAACCACATCTTGAGGTTCTGAATTATAAGAAGCCGGATAAATTAAGGGTTGTTTTTGATTGTGCAGCGGTTTATTTAGAGGAGTCCTTAAATATGCTCTTTCTCCAAGGACCGAACATTGTCTCCAGTCTACTCGGGGTTCTACTTCACTTTCGTCAGAAAAATTTTGCGGGTAATAAGGATACTGAGGGTATTTTCTTGCAGGTTAAAGTTCCAGAATCATATCAGACGGCTCTCAGATTTCTATGGTGGTCTGACGGTGAACAAGCTCAACGAGTTGAGGAGTATTGTATGACAGTTCATCCGTTCGGAGCGGTCTCCTCACCACTTAGTGCGAGTTTTGCTTTGAGAAAGACAGCTAATTTTTACGGCCACGATCGTCCTTCCTCGACTACCGATGCAGTTCAAGGCAGCTTTTATGTGGATGACTTGCTGTTGTCCGTCGATAATCAGATCGAAGTACGTATCACGATCAGTGGCCTGACACAACTGCTAAGTTGTGCCAGATTCAAATTGACTAAGTGGGCTAGTAACCAGCGAGAAGTTTTGATTCAGAATCCTTCTGACGATAACAATGTTTCCGTTGAGGAATTATCTGAGGGTACGCTTCCTATAGAAAAGGCCCTCGGTCTGGCTTGAGATATGGAGTGTGATTCGTTTATCTACCGGATCTACCAGATCACTGAAAATTCATCCTCCGGGTGCGTAAGGCTTGCTTTGACTTGACTTGACTTGACTTGAAATGAAGGAGTACCCGGTTACGCGAAGGTTGTTGGTGTCGCGTTTATCAGCCATCTATGGCCCATTTGGGTGGATTAGCTCATTCATATTACCTTTAAAGTTGTAGTTTCATGATCAGATAGAAAATGAGTGGGTTGGGATGAATTGATAAAGTGTGAAGGGCACAGATGGCGGCAGTATTGTGCCATTTTATAAATGCTGAATGGTATTAAGTTGTCCAGATGATGTTCTCATGGAACCGCAGAGACAGATCCAGAGATTGAGCTCCACGTATTCAGTGACGCATCGGAAAGAGCCATGGGGTTCTGGCGTACTTTCGTTTCATCAATAAACGGGATTCTAAGAGGTGCGTGCTTGTTATGGCTAAGTCCCGAGTTGCCCCATACCTCGTCCGGTGTTGGCTACTCAATTAGCTGGAAAGATACAAAAAGAAATAGAAACACAGCTACAACAAGTGTGTTACTGGTCGGACTCTGCATCCGCCTCACATTAAATTTTAAAGGATAAAAGCCGATTTTCGATCTTTTTCGCTAATCGCGTAGCGAAGAACAAAGACGTTTCCGACCCGGAACAATAGTGACACGTGCCAGGGAAGGATGACACTGCAAACTTAGCTTCACGAGGTATGACTCATCAAGAAGACTAAATCCTGTGGTTTCACGGACCACGGTTTCTAAGTCAACCTGGCATGACTCACTATGAAAAGAGTTAATACCCCGACCCCTCAAACGAATTCTTAGAAATGAGGGAGGAAAGAGTGATTGCATCAGTTATTAGCGTTGCACGTACGCCTTAATTTGAGATGTTCTCATCGTGGCTGTCACCGATAAAGTCTATGATTTGGATTTTGGGTTCAAGCAATACCTGCTCATCCTTAGTAAGGGTAAAATTAAAATGTAGTTGAGAGTGGGCCATGTAGCAGTGTCGGAGATAAGATGCTATTTGTAATATATTACAAGCGGAGTGTTTTCCTCGGGAACTGAACGTGCTAAGTAGCGAAACCAAAGATATTTAGTGACTATCTACAAATTGTTCAATAAACTATCAAACCCCATTCTTACCGATGGATTCTGATGTACTTGGGATCGTCTACAATGATCGGATACATCAGAGTTCTTGAAACATCCTGTAATCCTTTCTGCCAAGTATCACATCACACGTTTGATAATTACATACCATCATGAGTTTGATGGTCATGTACGTCATCAAAGGTCGAGGTTGGCCATTCTTCGGAGGAGGTTATGGGTACTAAGAGGCAGAGCCACCATTCGACATGTAATTGAGAAATGTATGCAGTGCTTAAGGTATCGGACACATGCCGACTGCTGGCTGATGGAACCCTTACATTTTAAACGGGGTGTACATGATGGACACACCTTTACACATGTAGGAGTGGAATTCTTTTATCCCCTATATAACATAAAAAAGGGCTACAAATTCCTCTCGATCACCTTGCATTTCCTTACATTATCTTGTTTTTCTATCATGCATTCTTTTTGACTGTGGTTCTTATGTTGCTGAATTTGCTATTCTGAACCTCATATTTCATCTTTTCTACGGTTTAGCACATTCATTGGACATGCGCTGTAAGTGCCTTGTGTTTTTTTTACATGCAAATGGGACTGAGTGCTGTTTCTTGTTTTATTACGACCTCAGTTTCGATTGGACACTCGTTGTTGGATTAACCGTTGTTTTCGCTTATATTGAACTTCTTTTGGCTACATAAGCTCCCTTTTGTTCGAACTTCACGCTGAGCAAAACCGCCTCAGCATTTGGGGTTTTCTATGTTCGGTTAGTCTCTGAGGCAATAGAAAACAACTTCTACTTCGACGATTGTCTCATATCGTTTGCGTCCAGCGAAAAAGCATCTGTTTTAGTCGGAGAGATAAGCGAAATGTTACTTCGTGAAGGGTTCAATCTGAGAAAGTGAATATCGAACCCATCGTTGATGATAAAATCCCTCCCAGATTCCACAGTACAGGTCTCTTCTCTGGTTGATACTCCAAAATGGGCGTTTGGTCTGTAGTGGAATACAATTCAGGTGTTCGTTTTTTGCTTCGAATCAACGTTGACTACAAAAACTAAAAGAGGCGCATTATCGACTATGGCCTTATTCAACCCTCTAATCTAATCACTAATCACACCACTCTGTCTACCTGCTAAACAATTGTTGCAATGACTCTGTAAAGCCCGGTTAGTTTATGATCAACTGCTGACATCCGAATATTCTCGCTAGTTGGAAGAGTGGATAGCACTCACATGTCACGTCGGGAATATCAGCATTCTAAGGGCTGTACGCAAAGAGAATCAACAGCAGACAGGAAAAACCGAACGGCACATTTTGTGACGCTTCGTCATCCGGCTATGGTGCAGTTGCCTTCGTCAGGCACACCGTCGAGGGAAGGTGCTCTTATTGTGTATTGCTCTACAGTAAATTGAGGATTCCGATTAGCCCCGGGAGAAGGAAGGCTAGGAGGGATGTAGGCGTACTGCTGTAATTCTTGTTATCTCCAGTGTTTCGGGGGTTAAGTAGGTAGGGGAGAGCCATGGCGGATCTCTCGTGTTAATCATTGTCTATGACTAATCGATGACCCATTCTCGTGTCCATTGACCTTGTGTGTCTGCCTATCGATCCCGCCCGTGTCAATGCCCTTGGACAAATAATTGCTCTCTACGCCTACGTGGCTTTGTTGTGTCACTGCCCCGGTCCCGATATGCCCCGTCACTGGCCCTGTAGCCTCATTGTTGTCTTGCTCTTTGTGAGTGCATGACTGACTTCGATCACCGGCTGTTCACGTTTGATGAATAGAATTCCTTGCTTGACCTACCAAGTATTTATGTTCCCTCTTTGTATATTTATTTGCTTGTCTATATATCAAGTCTCTACCCATTTGTTTGAATCCAATTTGGCTGTATAGCGACTGAGTTGCATTGTTAAGGTACGTTGTTCTTTGACTCGCTTCATGAAATAATCAGTACCGTACGTTTAAAACCGAATGGGCGGCAGCGGCGGTAAACTACAAATTGTCTGATAGCACACAAGGCTTGGGCGGTCACAGAAAACGCAGTGAGGGCTGAGCAGTTTAGTTCTACGATAACCGTGGTTCTACAGTAAAACGTAGTCAATCAATAAACGTTAAATTCAAGCACATTTACGACGAGGCTACAGTGTACAGAAAATTTCAAACGTGGCGGTACAGAATGACGTGAAAAATTGTGATACATTCAAACCAAAACAGTACACAAGCGGAATTTGGTCCCGATACGTACGGATGGTTCACCAGGTCTAGAATAGGAGACAAACTGCTGCGTAATATTACCAGATAAACGAATAAAGCAGCAACCAGGAACCAAGCTCTCAATCGCTACACGATAGCGGGAACACGCAAACTGGATTGCAAGGTTTATTAGGCACAAGTCATCAATCGGGGGTCATTTACAGTTAGGGTCAATTGGGGAAGCGTGGTTCATGTTTCGGCTTTCAACGGTTGTTCTTCTAACTTCGGTCGGGCTACTGGTCATGATTGCATTCACGCCTGTGGATGTAAAGAGGAAGGATAATGGTACAGTTAGTTATATAGGGTTAAACGCACCACGGTGTGGGCCTATGTCGACTATCGCCATTACAGACGCCAGCGTACAGAAAATTTCAAACGTGGTGATACAGAATGAAGCGTAAAATCGTGATACAGTCAAACCAAAACAGTAGTTTACTTTTAAAAACACAGAAAAATAGAACAGGATTAAGAAGTTACCGAATAATCGTTAATGAATAATCGTTCAGCTTTGGTAATCTGTCATTTGGCATTAAATACTCAGTGTAGCGCAGTCAAAGGTTTTTGCCATTTATAATCAGGCTACTTAAATGTTCATAGTAGTCAAATTACAAATGCTGAAAGATTCAAATTCTCCTCTGGAGAATTTACACTCCCCCAGCAGTTGTGGATCGGTTCGTGTCTGCGGCGGCAGCCCTTTCGTCCATATATGGCTGATGTCGATGTAATCCGACGTCCTTTGTAGCCTTCTTTGAAAACTGCATTAAACTGAGGCACCATAAAACGTGCACAAGACTTCGACGGTTTCCATCTGAACGTCTTCGGATACGCAACACCATGCTGTGGCTTCTATGTTTCGTTGCAGTCAGCTACGTGGGAGTTCAGTCAATCGTCGTGCACCCGAACCGTTGCTGCTTCTATGGAAGATCTATATCGTGGTGGGATTTACACTTTCTTGCGGATGATTTCACCAACCGTACAACCTCTTCCGTGGTTGTAGTGTGGCGCCCGCTGATTGTTGCTAAAGAATCTCCATTATGCATCTGGTCGGGGACCTGATGAGCGGTTTCGGATTCAAGCTTAATCCCGTTGATCACTTATGTATTCTTCGGTGCCGATTCACCCACAGGTCCGAGAAGAATCCATCCGAGGGGAGTGCGAACGGCAAACAGCCCTGAGGACTGTCCGTACCGAGGCTCTGAGACCTAGTGTACTTGTGGTGCGTTCATACCTATAAGAATGCCAATGGGACGTTGACGGTGTCTGTGAAGTGGGAGGTCTTGCAGATAATTCCATTCTTTGAGTTGCGTGGCTGTCGGAAATACGTTGGAAACATGATGAATTTCCTTCACAGACCACAGTTTCTCTAAGCGTAGCGGTTCGTTACCGTGGACAAATAAATGGGATCAACCACTGAATCTAGGTAAGTGTCAGCTCTTGACCACAAGAGTCAATGTTGGCACGAGAGGTGTGATGCATTTGTAGCATGTCTCTGAGGCAAGGGATCTAGAGTTAATGATTACAAATGAATTCAGACTAATCCTGCATGGCAAACGTGCGGATNCGTGCGGATCACAAAGCTCGACACGAACTTTTCAGGTTGTGCACTGTTGTAAGTTGCAG